GTCTCCCACTCTCACCCCACCCCATCTCACCCTCAATAACCAGCTCCTTCCCTCTGCCCCCTTAGTGCTGGATTCCTGCTCCAGCATCCTTTTGTAGCATCCTTTTTCCTGCCTCCTCTCCCCCGAAGGCTGTGAGCACCTAGGGATAGGGGTTGGCCCGCTGGGCAGGTCCACATCTAACAGAGGGTCTCCGTGCTCCACCGTGATGCTCCCTGCTGAGAGCCACACAGATAAGCCCAAGACACTGCATGGAGCAAAGGCCATGTCCATTATGGGCATTCATGGTCCTTCCACTGTAGACACCCTACCCCGTTCCCTGCTCCCTGTGCTGCAGCCTCTTTGAACCCCACCCATGTCCCCCACATGCTACCTGGAGTATTCTCAGTACCATCCCCTGCACCATCTTTTCTGAGAAGCCCTTCCAGTCCACCCTGCCCCTACCAGGCTGAGCCATGAGCCTCCTCTGTGCCCCACAGCCAGGTATATCCCTGCCCAGCTCCTACCCAACTCTGTCTGCTTCCTCGCTTGTCTCTCTGCTGTCTCAATTGTGAGCTTTCAAGTCCAGGGCAGCTCTGGGGACTAGCCTGGAGGGTGAGTGATTAATGCGCGGTGTGCTGCTGGTGTCAGCCCAGGAGTGACTGGCCAGCCGGTGCCCACCTTGTGCCCAGGCTGATGAACCCTTGACCTCGTGGCTCCCAGAGAGCATCTCTTCCTAGGAGGGGATGGTGACACCACAGGGTCCTGCCCCAGGCCTGCTTGCCTGCGATGTGAGGGGGCCAGATGGCAGAGCTGGGGCTAGACCTCCTACAGCCAGGGGTCAGATCCCTGCAGAAACTAGTTTCCAGCTTGTACCCAAGGTGCCCCCGAGGTCTGTTTTTACCACCTTTTACCACTGTGTCAAGCCAACCTAGAGTGTTGGAAGGGGACAGGGGCGGGCATTAGAGGCAGAAGAGTCTGCGGTTGACTTTTATTGTGATACTTATTAGCAGTTTGATTGCAAATAAGTTACCTATTTTCTCTGAATCTCAATTTCTCTGAGTCTTGCTTTTCCTATCTGTATACTGGGCATGATCATATGTCCTTTACAAGTTTTGTAAGATTAGAGAACACTGATGGCCCTGTTAGTAGATATCCACTCAATTACAGCTGGTTTCTTTTTTTTCCACATCTTTCCTTTTTAAAAAATACATACATTCTTTCTTTCTTTCTTTCTTTCTTTTTTTTTGGTTAATAGAGGAACTGGGGATTGAACCTACGACCTGGTGCATGCTAAGTGTGCCCTCTACCACTGAGCTATACCCCTTATTCCCCACAGCTGGTTTTATTTAAGCACCATTTCCTTATGTTCCAGTGGAGGCCGAGCCACCAATTAACTCCCTCACTGGGGAGGCTCCCGATTATGGGGGCTGGGCTTCTTGTTAGCTATGCTGTCACCAGCCCCTGTCTTTGTGCTGACAGTGATAGCTCAGTTGCAGATAAGCTTTGAGGGTCTGGCCAGGGGAACTGCTCCCTGGCCATTTTTGGCAACGTGGAAGTTGACACACATACCAAGATATGAAACTGGGTCTCCTCCCTAGGACACTGTGGGTTCCTATATTCGGTTGCTGTTGCAAAAACCGCAGAGGTGTGTTCTGACCAGGAGTGCACGGACTGGAGTCAGAAAAAAGGAAGTGTTGCAGGTGATGGGAGGGGTTGCCCAACCTGCCTGGTTCCTGCCAATCGAGTCTCCATCTGAGTCTTCAGGGGAATTCCTGAACTTCTCGATATGGGCAAGGACTTTCCTTACAGGGTAGACAGGGAAGAGGATGGTCTTTGAGGTGCTGGACCACCCAGGAAAGGCTTTGGAGGCAGACAGCCCCAGGCCTCAGCAAGTGGCCAGCTTCCACTTCTAAGCCTCAGTCTCTTCATCTGAAAACAGCATCCCTGCATCCAGCCTATGGGGTCATTGTGTGGACCAGAGAGCGTGTGCACAGTGCCTGGAGTACAGGCCCTCAGTAAGGCTGCGCTCCAGCCTCGAGGCTTCTCCTCCTGACTTGGGGCTGTCCGGGGAGAGGGGTATAGTGGGGTAGCTACTTCATTCTCTCACCAGCATTTTTCAGGTTTCTTCTCTTGGTCCAGTGTCTGGGGGTAGGGAGGAGGGGCAGTCAGGACTTGCAGTAACACTAGGTAAAACCTAGGTAACAACACATCTCTGCCTCCAAAAGTCTTCTGAATCAAGGCATCTCTTCAGGCAGTGGTACCCAAAATCTGGTCCCTGAAACAGCTGCCTTGGCATCATTAAGAGACTTGTTAGGGACACAAATTCCTGGGCTTCATCCCAGACCTCTTGAATCGGAAGGTCTCAGTTTTAGTAATTTCCTCAGGCAATGCTGATGCACGTCAATGTTTAGGACAACTGAGTTCAGGAATGCCTTCTCCTGGAGGGCAGGTTTCAAGCTGGAGGTTTGATTGTTCACCTCCCAGAACCACCTGAATGCTGGCTGCCGAGCCAGGCAGGGCACTTCAAGGGGAAGTGAAGCCTCAGGGTATGCTGAATTCCTGTCACCTCTTTCCTCACGGACCCACATGGAAACATCAAGACGGTCATTCCCTTGATGTTAGTCTCCATGTCTACCCTTTACTCCTTTCCTTTGTGCATCATGGAAGCTGTGCTCTCGGGCCATGCACCGCCTCCTATAGAAACGTCAATGGTCCAGCCCACTTTCTGCAAGTTTTGGGGGCCTTATGTTGTCCAAGCCACTTCTAACTCTGATTTCTCTGATCTTGTCGCTGAGCCTCACTGTATCTCCCCTTCCATACTATGTCTGTCCTTTCCATCCAGGGCTAACCCAGGGGTGCAACACAGAGCCTCCATAATTGATTTCCCCATGGTCCTTCCAATAGCAAACGTGTACTGAGGTCTTGGGCCAGAGGGGAATTCACGTCCCCTCCCTTGAAAATATTAGCTGTGTACCTTGGCACTAGAAGTGGTACTAATGCTAGTACACAGCTGTGTACTCGCTGTGAAAAATGCTACTGGAACTCACAGTGACTCTGTTTCCTCATCTCTAAGGGAGGGTCAGGAGAGTCCCCATGCCATGGGGCTGGGGGCAGAATTAAGTCAGCTTACGCATGCAAAGCACTCAGCGCAGAGCCCAGAGTGGAGTCACCATTCAATAGGTGCTCTTACTGTCATTATTATTTTATTAGAGTCATGAAACTGGAAGAATTGTACCTTCTTCCTTTAATATCGATCAATTGATTGATTGTGATCAAATACATATAACATAAAATTTACCATTTTAACCATTTTTAAGAGCACTGTTCAGCGGCATTAAGTCCACTCACACTGTTGTGCAACCACCACCACCATCCATCTCCAGAACTCTTCCATCTTGCAAAACTGAAACTCTGTCCCCACTAAATATCAAGTCCCAGTCTCCCCTCCCTGCAGCCCCTGGGAACCACCATTCTACTTTCTGTCTGGATGAATTTGATGACTCGAGATCGTCATACACGGAATCACTCAGTATATGTCTTTTTGTGACTCACTGATTTCACCTAACATAGTGCCCTCGAGGTTTATCCATGTTGTAGAATGTGTCAGAATTCCCTTTCTCTTTAAGGCTGAATAGTGTCCCATTGTATGGATAGACTACATTTTGTTTATCCATTCATCCACAGATGGACGTTTGGGTCATTTCCACCTTTTTGCTGTTGTAAATCATCATGCTGTAAACATGGGTGTACAAATATCTGTTGATTTGTGTGTGTGTGGGGGGAATCCTTTCACTTTTCATAATTGACCTGTCTTGTCTAATTTGACAAAATGACCACTTATAAAAATACAAGTGACCTTTGAACAACATGAGTTTGAACTGTGCTGGTCTGCTTATATGTGGGTTTTTTTCAATAGTAAATACAGTAGTACTAAACCACCCGTGGTTGGTTGAATTCATGGATGCTGAAGCACAGATGTGGAGGGCCGACTGAGTTACATGGGGATTTTTGACTGCGTGGAGAGTTGGCGCCCCAATCCCTGTATTTATTCAAGGGTCAACTCTACAGTTTTTTTTTAATTGGATGGAATAGTGGATGGGAACTTGGGGTGCAGCCCCAACAAAGAGACTGAGGCCTGGGAGGGACCCTGAACGAGCCCTCTACCTTAGCGTGGCTTATGTTCACAGGAGATTTGATCCTGTCCCCAGCTGGAAACATTCCGAGAAAGGGGGCGTTGGAGGTTAAGGAAAAGTGTGTTGGCTTTGGACTCAGACACACAGAACTTTCTTCGTGGTCACCTGGGGAAGCGATTGACCTTCTCTGAGCCTTGCTTTCAGCACCTGTAAAATACTGCCCCTGTTTGTGTGCTCCCTCATGGGGTGTTGTGTGAAGGTAACGTGAGATAATACGGAGAGAAAGGTGCAGAGCCGGGATGCAGTAAGCATTCAGCGCAGTGGAGTTCTTACTACCATTAAACATGTCGGTGCATCCTTGTTGTACTGGATAGAGCAGGGGAGGGACCAAACCTTAGTTCCTAGCTTCTCTGTTAGTGCTCTTTCCATCGTGGAATGTTTGCTTTGTTAATGTCAGATTGATTGATGTGTGATTTACAAACAAAATATTTTTTCCCCTTGTAATGTGCCCTCTGGACAAACATACAGAGCTATGTGGCCACCACCACGGTCAAGGCATAGAACATTTCTATCACCCTCAATGTTCCCTTCTCCCCTCTGGAGCTGCCCTCCTATCTCAAACCCCTGGCACCCCGTGATCTATTTTCTGTCCCTTTTATTTTGCCTTTTCCTGAATGTCATGTAAATGGGTTAAAAAGCGGTATGCAGCCTTTTGAGGCTGGCTCCTGTCACTCAGCACAAGCCCTTCGAGATCCTTCCAGGTTGCTGTGGATCAATAGCGTGTCCCCTTTTACTGCAGAGAAGCGTCCCAGTGCACAGAGATGCCTGTTTGTTTATTCATTCACCCCTTGGTGGAAATTTGGGTTGTTTCCAGGTTTGGGCAGCTGCGAATAGACCTACTCTAAGCATTCATGTGTAGGCTTTGATAGGAACATAAGTTTTCATTTCCCCAGGGTAAATACTCAGAAGAGTAATGGTTGGGTATATGTTTAACTTCCTCCGAAGTTGCCAGACTGTCTTCCAGACTGGCCGTACCATTTGCACTCACACCAGCCGGAGGAACAGTTGTGGTTGCTAAACACCCTTGCCAGCACTGATTGGTTTTTATTTATTTTTTAAAGATGTTTTAATAGGTGTGTCCTAGTATCTCACTCTGGTTTTTTTTCCTCACCATAGTTTTAATCTACATTTCTTTGATGATAATGTCTTTATCCGCCCCAGTGCTTCTGATTAACTGAAGTAGGCTGTGGAGTGAACAGAGAGTCCCTGTTATTATGACTTTTGTCCACTGCCCACCCTCTCTGCCTCTTTTCAATTTGCCTTTTTTAAACAATTTTTTTATTGAAGTATAATCGATTTACAATGTCGTGTTAATTTCTGGTGTTCAGTATATTGATTCATTCA